CCACCTCCTCCGCCGCGACGTGCCGCCAGTGCCGAGGCGACGAGGAGGCGCGCCAAGTTGAGTGCGCCAAGGATGGCGTCCAGACTCTCGTCGAGGGCCGCGTCGCCTGGTCTCGGGTGATCTCGGGTGGTCTCGGGTGGTCTCGGGTGGTCTCGGGTCATCTCGGGTCATCTCGGGTCATCTCGGGTGATCTCGCCTGGTCCGTTGTGGCACTAGCACGCGGGCTCTACCTGGCTGCTCGCTCGATCACACGGACACATGCCGAGCCTGCTCGGCATCTACAGCCCGCATCGCCTCCTCGAGCAGCCTCGTCGAGCACTGTGCGGAGCAGAGGCAGCAGCGCCGCGGCGCCGAAGTGGGGCCCGCCCGCCCCCTCCGCCGCACCCGCCCCCTCCGCCGCACCCGCCGCGCCGCCGCGCCTACGCGTCTCGTCGAGATGACCCGAGATGGCCCGAGATGGCCCGAGATGGCCCGAGATGTGACCCGAGGTGGCCCGAGGTGCGCCTGCGCGTCTCGTCGAGATGCTCCTGCTTCAGCCGGTGCAGCAGCAGCGCGCCCGCCTTCGGGTCACCTCGGGTCATCTCGGGTCATCTCAGGTCACCTCAGGTCATCTCGGGTCATCTCAGGTCATCTCAGGTCATCTCGGGTCATCTCGGGTCATCTCGGGTCACCTCAGGTCACCTCGGGTCATCTCGGGTCATCTCGGGTCACCTCGGGTCACCTCAGGTCATCTCGGGTCACCTCAGGTCACCTCGGGTCATCTCGGGTCATCTCAGGTCATCTCGGGTCATCTCGGGCTCATCTCGGGTCATCTCGGGTCATCTCGCCCGCCTTCGGGTGGCCGCACCGCCGCAGCAGCGCCTGCAGCAGCACCAGCCGGGACGCGACGCTGTGCAGATCCACCAGCCTACGGCCGAGATATGGGCCAGATATGGCCGAGACACGGCCGAGATATGGCCGAGATATGGCCGAGATCCGCGGTGCGGGTCGAGAAGCCTCTGCAGCGCTGCGTAGGAGGCGGCGCGCTCGGCCTGCTCTCACGAAGTCATGATTGCGTGCTCGGCTAGATCTCGGCTAGTTTTCGGCGAATCTCGGTGAATCTCGGCTAGATCTCGGCTAGATCTCGGCTAGATCTCCGCCTGCTCTGCTGCGGTCGCCATGTGCTCAACCAGGGCGTGCGCGCACCCGGCGCACGCACCCCCCGGCCCAGCTGCCGCCCCACGCCTCGCATCTCCGGCCGCCGTCGCTCTGGCCTCTCCCGCCTCTCCCGCCTCCGCCTCCCCCCTCTCCGCCTTCTCCGCCCCCGCCTCCGAGACCTTCTCCGCCTCCGCCTTCTCCGCCCCCGCCTCCGAGACCTTCTCCGCCGACCAGACGTTCGCCGCGGCCGCCTCGCCCTCCGCCTCCTCCATGCCTCGCCATAGCAGCTCGCGGCCGCACGAGCGCAGGCGCGAGGAGCCCTGCCCAGAGGCAGAGAGGAGGAGCAGGGCCAGACCGGCAGCCGACTCCAGCGGCCGACTCGGCGGCGCCCCAGCGCGGTGGTGCGCCCCAGCGCGGTGGTGCGCGTAGACGGCGCGGCCAAGCCTAGGGTGAGTTCGGGTTAGGGTTTGGGTTTGGGTGGGGTTGGGGTTAGGGTTGGGGTTGGGGTTTGCACGGCGCGGACGAGCCTCGGCGGAGTGCCCAGCGGCGACGTGTCCGAGGCCGACGACGCGCGCGACGCGACACAGACCGACCTGTTCACGGCATGAGGTGTGAAGAGACGCCGTTCACACGGCGCGCGAATCGCGGCACGGGCAGACCGCAGCCGAGACAGGGCGGCGCACGGAGCCTCGACACCTGTCGGGCTCAGCTGGCGGAGGTTAGAGACCGCAGCCGAGACAGGGCGGCAGGGGAGCCTCGACTCCGAGACAGGGCGGCAGGGGAGCCTCGACTCCGACCCACTCTCGACCGGCAGTATCTCGGCTAGATCTCGCCTAGCCCCTCTCTCGCCGCCCTCTCGACCAGCGCCTCGAGGAAGGTCTCGAGCACGGCGTGCGTCGGCGCGGCGTCGGCCGTGCGCTCGTCGCTTGTGCTCTGACCCGCCCCATCCGGAATCCCATCTGGAATCACTGACGCGGCGCAGCGGGCGAGCAGCGCAAGCAGAGCTGCGCCGCTGCCCGAGTCGCTCCATGTGGCCGCCTCCAGCGCCTCTCCTGCCACCGCAGCCTCCCCCTCCTCCCTCTCCGCCGCCCCCACCGCCTCCTTTTCACGCTCCGCCCCTGCCCCCGCTGCCGCCGCCGCAGCCTCCTCCACCGCCGTCGTTGCCTCTGCCTCGGCCGCCGCAGCCTCCTCCGCCGCCGCAGTCTCCTCCTCCGCCGCCGCGTCCCAGTCCGCTGCCGGCCAGGCTCCCCGCGCCAGGTATCGGGCGCTCAGCGCCTCCAGCGTCGAGGACAGCATCTCGTGCCGCCGCCGCCTGACGCGAGGCAGCACGGCCGCCAGCATGGCCACGACGAGAAGCTGGGAGCGAGGCGGAGCGCCGGCGGAGAGCACGCCGAGCAGCATGACGACGCCCTCGCGCGGGCCGACCACCGTCGCCAGGCCGGCGAGCAGCGCGTGCGCCTCTCGCGCCGCCGGCCGTGGCGTGGCGCTCGCTGCGAGCGAGAGCAGCGGCTCGAGGAGGTCGAAGGCGTGCTCGTCAAGCAGCGCCGCGCGCTCACCGGTGGGCGGCAGCAGCGCAGTGGCCAACGCACGGAGCGATGCGCGGGCCAGCGAGGCGTCGGCCGAGAGCGAGGCGATGTGGGCTGCGACAGTCGAGGCTTCCGCCATTTTTCGAAAGGGAAAATAGCACCCGGCTAGGGCGAGGGCTCCCAGGGCACTGCTCCCATCCCTCCCTTGGGTTGTCTGTTTTCTTTCTTTCTTCAGGGCACTGCTTGCAATGGCGCTGCTTGCAATGGCGATGGCGCTTAGAGGTCCTCTTTTCCGCCCCCCCGCCCCGCCCCGCCGCCGCAAGGCGACGGCTAAGGCCGAAATCGGTTCACACCTGCTCTTGCAGGTGTGAACACAAAGGATTCGCTGTATCTACTCAGCTGCCCTTACACTTACCTATGAAGTGTGTCCTTGAACGATATCGGTGTCGAAACACCGCTCTGACAGCGCTCAAGGTCGGCTTTTTCTTATTTTTGTGCGCCGAGTGCGCTCTCGGGAAGCGGGTGCGCTGCCCACGCCGTGCATCTCTCGCGGCGGGACGAGGCGTTAGGTAATGCGCGCGAGCGCGGGCGGGGCGGGCCGGGGCCGAGGGAGGGTCGGCGGGGCGCCGGGGACGTGGCAAGGGGTGCCGTGGGAAGCCGCTCCCCTGCGCCGCCGCCGCCTCGCCAACCCCTCAGCACCCCTGCATGTGTGACCGCCGCACCGCTCCACCACCGCACCGCTCCACGGATCCCGTTTTGCGCCGCGCAGGTTCGCCAGCGACTGGCGCGCACGACATGGGTGCGGACGTGAGCGCTCTCCGCGAGAAGCTGGACGCGTCCACCAGCAGGTGCGAGGCGCTCGAAAGGGAGACCGCAGAGCTCAAGTCGCGCTTGAGCGCTGCCGAAACTGCGTACGACGAAAAGGAAAAGGCGCTGGCGAGGCTGGCAAAGGCGTCGGTGGTGAGGCTGGACGCGCAGAGGGCGGAGAACATGAAGGAGACCAAGCGGGCGCAGCTGTGCGAGGAGCTTCGGCGCGAGGACTCCGTGCTCATGACCAAGCTCGGCAAGCTGCTCCTGCACGCGACGCCGGACACAAACCAGGCTGCTGCCAGCGCGGGTGTCGCGCAGGCACTCGGCGCGGGTGCGCGCGAGGCGCTCGGGGCGGGCGCGCCGGCGGCGGGCCCGCTCGACGCGGCGCGCCTGGCGGAGGAGCGGAGGAAGCTCTGCCGCCTCCTCTGGCTGCGTGGCGGCACCGACGCCACCTTTGCTCTGCGCAGCTCGCGCGTGATGGCGCGGGCGGTGCTCAAGCTCCCGAGGTTGAGGGCTCTGATGAAGTGATTGAGTGGAGTGGAGAACAGGCGCAGACCGGGCTCAAGCTACCGCACGAGGAGGAGGGGCTGGTCGGCTCGCTCGGCGTGCTCCGCCGCTTCGGCGCCGCCGAGGGCGCCTCCGGTCCGTGGGCCGCGCTCGGCGGCTCGCTGCTCTGGGACGCGCGGCAACGCAAGCTGGCGGCGCTGCAGGTCGCCGCATGCGCCGAGCCGTCGCCGAGCCAGCTGGTCTGCCTCGGCGTGGACCAGACGGGGGCGCTGACCGGCAGTGTGCGCTCGACCGTCGACTCCTTCACGCTGCTCGCCAGCGCCTCGGTCGACCTCAGCAGGCGCGCGGGCCTGTGCCGCCCAGTTCCCGACTTCGTCTTCCCTTGCGATGAGCTCCGGCTTCTGCCCCACGCAGGCGCAAAGGCCCGCGGTTCGGGGTCGACCTGAGCTTTGACGTCGAGTAGTCTACTCCAGTGTCCCATGGAGGCACACGGATGCGAGCGCGCATGTTTTGAGGCGTGCGCTGGCCGCGCGCGCGTGCAGCAGGAGAACGAGGGGCCGGCGGCCCGTATCCCTCGAGCTGTATCCTCGAGCATTAAACGGGGATCGCGCAACTCAGTGCGGGATGGAAGGAGTTGAAGCTCACGGCGTGTGTTTGGTCTGTATTTCGCTCGGAGGCCCGCGTGTGCGGAGAGATCTCATCTCAAGTTTTTTGTGACGCACAAGCCTTCACACGAATTGAGATTACTGAAAAACCTTAACCTTCCCCAAGCAAACAACCTTGCGCCTGTAAGCTGTATTCTTTTCCTGGCTAGCGGGAAATTCTTTTTCTCGGAAGTTTTGATTTCTTTTGTGCAAAATCCCTTTCAGTCAGTGTAGCCTCCTACGCCGCTTCGGGAATGTAGCCGGGGAGCTAAGAAAGAAGCGCACCCAGCGGGCCAGATGATGGCATCGGGCTACAGGCAAGAGAGCCCGCAGTCAAGAGTGCGATTTCTGCTTCACCGCCTGGCGCGAGAGTGTGCGGCGCTGCGCGAATGGCGGAAGCGGCTAGCTCATCCGCTGGGGCCTCGGAGCCAGAGACCCAGCAGGTTTCGAAGGGCCCGCCCACGCCGCGCCCGCGCCTGCACGCGCCGCTCGCCCGCCCCCTCCGCCCCCGCCCCTCGCGCCGCCCGACCCTCGTCTGCGCCGCCCGTTGACAGTTTGGCAACGTGCTGCTTGCCGGCAAGGACCAGCACCGCGAGGAGAACCTGGGGACGCTGCGGATGCACTCGGGCGGCTTCGGCTGGAAGTCGAAGAAGACTGGCCACGTCATCGCCATCTCAAAGTCGGACCTGCGCGGCGCCGAGTGGGCAAAGGCGCCGCCGTACGCGTGCATGCTCAAGCTGCGCGCCAAGGGCGGCTTCTCGCACACGTTCGTGGGGCTGCGCTCGCAGGACAGGGGCGTGGTCGGCGACTACTGCGCCCGCGTCTTCGAGCTCGACCTCAAGGACGTCGCCTTCTCGTGGAAGGGGTGGAACTGGGGCGAGGCGCTGGTCGAGGGCACCTCGCTCGCGTTCCGCGTCGAGGACAAGGCGGCGCTCGAGATCCCGCTGGCGGCAGTGTCGCAGGCGATCGCCTCGAACCGCAAGGAGGCGATCATCGAGCTCGCCGACGACGACACCGCCGCGCCCGAGGACGAGATGGTCGTCGGGATTCGCTTCCACGTGCCGGCGGCCGCGCGCGACGACGAGGCGGACGAGGAGGAGCTGGCGCCGGCAGAGACCCTCGTCGCGCAGATCAAGGAGTCTGGCGACCTGGAGGCGTCGGGCACCTCGCTCGCCACCTTCGAGGACGTCGGCCTCACCGTCCCGCGCGGCCGATACGACATCGAGATGTTCGACAAGTTCCTCAAGCTGCACGGCAAGACGTACGACTACAAGGTGCTCTACACCAACGTCGCGTCGGTGTACGTCCTCCCGAAGCAGGACAACTACACGATGGCCTTCGTGGTCTCGCTCGAGCACCCGCTCCGCCAGGGCGCCACCATGTACCCGCACATCGTGATGCAGCTGCCGCGCGACGCGACCGTCGACCTCGAGATCGCCCTCGATTCCGCCGAGCTCAAGCGCCGGTTCGACGACAAGCTCGAGCGGTCCGAGAGCGGGGAGCTCGTCGACCTGCTGCCAAAGGTGATGTGCGCCTTCACCAAGAAGAAGGTGGTGCGGCCAAAGGTCGGCGGCTTCAACGGCGAGAAGGAGGACAAGTTCAAGTCGATCCGCTGCTCGCTCAAGGCGAGACCTCCCGAGATCTGCCGAGCTCTGCCGAGCTCTGCCGAGCTCTGCCGAGATCTGCCGAGCTCTGCCGAGATCTGCCGAGATCTGCCGCGAGATATACCGAGACATACCGAGACCTGCCGAGATTGCCCCGACCTCGTGCGTCCGCCTCCATCGCACAGGCCAACGACGGCTTCCTGTACCCGCTCGACAAGTGCTTCTTCTTCGTCGCGAACAAGCCGCTGCACATCGACTTCGAGCGCATCGGCTCGCTCGAGTTCAACCGCGTGGACAAGGCCGCGCAGGCAGAGACAGCCCTTGCTGCCTCTCTCCTCCCCTGCTGCCTCTGTTCTCTGCTGCCTCTCCCCGCCGCCTCTGCCTCTCCCCGCCGCCCCGCCTCACCACGCCCCCCCCCCCCCCCCCCGCCCCGCGCGCACAGGCGCAGTCGGCGCGCACCTTCGACATCACGCTCTACATGCGCGACGGCAGCAGCCACCAGTTCGTCAACCTGCAGCGCTCCGACTACAAGGAGCTCTTCGCCTTCTTGCAGGGCAAGCAGATCAAGATCCGCAACCTCGCCGCCGCAAACAAGGCCAACGCCGACGACGCGGACGACGAGTCGGACGGCGGCGAGGAGGAGCCGCGCGCGGCCGACCTCGAGACGCACCATGGAGCCAGCCGAGAGGTGCCCGCGAGTAGGCGACGAGGACCCGTATATGGATCGCATCAAGCGGCAGCGCGCGAGCAGCAGCGGCGCGGCCGACGGGATGGGCGCCGACGACGACGACGACGACGACGACTCGGAGGAGGACGCGGACTTCGCGCCCGGCGAGGAGTCTGACGTCGACGAGGAGTACGAGGAGGGCGGCGGCGGCGGCGGCAGCGACGACGAGCGCGCGGGTTCGTCCAAGAAGAAGGGCAAGAAGAAGGCGGAGAGCAGCGGCAGCGACAGCGGCAGCGACAGCGACAGCGACGCGCCAAAGAAGAAGAAGGCGAAGCCGGCGGCGAAGGCGAAGGCGTCGCCCAAGAAGAAGCCGCAGAAGAAGAAGGACAAGGACGCGCCCAAGCGCGGCATGTCGGCGCCCGCCCGCTCGCGCCGCACCACACCCCAACTCCCCGCCGCGCGCGTCTCCTCACCCGCCGGCCCGTGAGCAGGCATTCATGCTCTGGATGAACGCCTCCCGCGCGAGCATCAAGGAGGAGCACCCGGACGCAAAGGTGACCGACATCGGCCGCATCGCCGGCGCAAAGTGGAAGGAGATGGACGCCGAGGCAAAGGCGCCGTGGGACGCCAAGGCCAAGGCGGACAAGGAGCGGTACGAGGCCGAGATGAAGGCGTACAAGGCCAAGCAGCGAGCCAGCCTGGCCGCGGACGACTCGGACTCGTCCGAGGCGGCCGCGCCGGCCAAGCCGGCCGCTGGCTCGGACTCGGACAGCGACTAGGCGGCGCGGCCTAGCGATGCATGGGCGGCGGGCGCGGTAGTAGGCACGGGCCAGTGGCCAGTGGCCAGTACAGGGTTTGGGTCGCGCGGGGCGGCCGCCGCGTGTCGCCACGCTGCTTTAGTCGTGTTGCAGGAAACTGGATACCCTCACACTAGAGAAGAGCTACATGTAAAGCCGTGTGCGAGAGAAATCCGGGCTCCCCATGCAAAGCCAAACCTGCCGCCGCCGCCCAGGCCCCCACGTGCCCCAGCCCCCACGGGCGTGCACCCCACACATCTCGCACATGCTTGAGCGTTGTGGTTGAGGTCGAGGCCTCCATTTTCTTCTCGTTGCGTGCAGATCTGCGAGCGCCACATGGGGCTGCCAATTCCATGCCGAGGGCCACCCCAGCACAGTCATGGGGCAAAGGGGTCCGCACCTTCGGCTCTGCCCCTCTGTGGTCCACGGAGCCGCTCCTCGCCCGAGACAAGGGCGCGCCGCATGGGGCTGCCAATTCCATGATGGTATCTCCGGTGAGATCCAGCTTCCAGGGCCACCCCAGCGCGCAGACATGGGGCAAAGGGGTCCACACCTTCGGCTCCGCGCCGCGCCTCGACTCCGTCAAGGGCGACCTCAAGCCGTCCTCCTTCTTCTCGTTGCGCGACTCGATCATGAACATTTCGCACGAGTAGAACCTCTCGCTTCCCCTCGGGGGAGTCCAGTCTGATCGGGGGAATTGCCCTACGTCCGCGACCCCTGACGTGCTTCTTGCTTCGATACGACGAATTTGAGACGGGGGGAGAGCTGAGAGACGGCAAAGGAGCGCAAATCAAGATGGGAAAAGACAGCGAGCCGCTCCGATCCGGGAAGAGTGCGAGCCCTGAATGTGAAAGTAGCGCAGACATGCCTCGCGCTGCACGTATCACACCAGTTCACACACTTTGCGGCGACGGACGGAGGAAAGGACCATGAAGACGAAATGGCGGAGGATAGAAAGTACGTGCCGGACCCTAGGGTGTGGCGTACGGCGTCTTCGAAGGACCGACGCGATTTGGGAGGCGCGTCCCGGGAGACGCACAGGTAAGGGACCCCAACGGAATCGGGCCCTGTGACGAACAGGAGATACGGACAGCCCTTGGGGCGGGCATGTGGGGAGGAAAGCTGCCGAACACGTGGGAGGTGATAGACGCGGAGATGTACGCGATCTCGCATACATACGCAAAATGGCGAGCGCGAGCGACGCACAGACGCGGCGGTGCCTAGTACTATGCGACTGCAAACCCGCGCTGCAGCAGATTGAGAATGCGCACCGCAAAGGGATGCCAGAAGGTCTGAGGGACTGGGAGAGAGGCGGTCTCCTAGAGGCGATTGCTTACTATAGATCGCAGCTAGAGGCGGTGGTCTTCGTGTGGGTGCCATCGCACGTGGGAATAGCCTGCAACGCATACGCCGACGCAGTGGCGACAGCATACCTCGGAAAGGACGACACGGAGGACGCCTCGAAGGTGGTTCGGGACGCGGTGCGAACTCGGCCGTGCATGTACACAGTGAGAAGGGAGGCGGCAGAGGACCCGGAGAAGAGGGAGATAGTGGACCGACGGACATACGGGCACATACGCCAGAGCGCACTAGCGCACATGAGTGGGTGTGCGAGCAATTTCGAAAGACGGTGAGGCCGGGATCGCACACGGCAGGGATGGCGGGACGGCTGTGGAGCGAAGTGGCCGTAGCCAGCCTCAAACACCCATGGGACAATAAGATGAGATTGCCAGATGAGAAGGGGGGAAGGACAGGCGAGCGACATTTGACGACGTCGGGGGATGAAACAGCAGGAGAGAGAACGAGGACGAGAGTGGGAAGAACGTGAACGAGAGGTGGCATGAGGTCGCTCGCTGCGAGAATTAGTGAGAAACTGCGAAGAGAGATAGGAAGTGGTAGACGCCCGAGGGTGGGCGACGGCTAGCACCACACTTCTCCCCTTGAAATCCCTGTGTGGTGGCGGCTGCGGTCATCATCCCTCCCTTTGTTTCTTTCTTATATGGTGTACCTGTGTTAGTGCCAGTGCGCGCCAGTCCCGTGCCTGCCTACGAGTAGTGTCGCGCGAGCGAGTTTTGGAGCACTTGGAGTGCAGTCAGTAACAACACATCCAGGGGCAGGGCCGGGGGGCTGAGAAGCACACCCAGCGGGCCGGATGATTGGCATCGGGTTGCGGGCAAGAGAGCCCGAGGCTTGTAAAATTCTTATTGTGGGTTACGTCCCTCTTCACAGCAGTGTGGGGGTAGGGGACCCCAGGGCATACCCCGGAGTACCACCGAGAGATTCCCGAGGTTCCCGACGGCCAACTTCGGCGTTCGGTCTCCGATCTTAGACACAGACAGGCATGTCATGCATCCTGGACCGACCCCGCCCGTAGCTCCGGCAGGCAACGAGCAGGACGAGCAACACGCGGGGCTCCTCTGCCTATCAGAGGTCGCTGATTTGGCACGGCGCGATGGCGGCGGCGAAGCGTCGGAGAGTGCTCGCCGAGAGGCGGCCCGCCACTTTGACCGCTCCTCGGGCCAGTTTAGCAGACCACGCGGCCTAGCCGCGTCTGCGCCGCCACCCAACTTCAACCTCGCCTTCTGCTGGGGGCAGGAGCTGTCGGGCGGCATGAGGCACTGCGCGCAAGTAGTGCTGCGCAAGGCCGGGCCTGCGTTCCGCGAGCGGTTCTGCAGCGAGTGCCGCGCTCGCGGAGTCATCGTCGCCGCCTCCCGCCTGCGGGTGGTGTGCGGCCGCGCGCCGACCAACCAGCACACCGGCGGCATCTGGAACGAGGGCAGCGCCAATGGGTGGCCGCAGCACCGGGTGGTGAACCAGGTTTGCTCTTCGACGGGGCCTCCCCTCGTGATCCTGCGGGAAGAGACGACGGCGACTTTCGCCGGCCTCGCGGCGATGCCGCCCGGGGAGAGCGGCTGGGTTAGGTTTCGCGTCGGGCGAACCCTCGAGCCGCTGATAGGACTGCCCGCGACGCCAGAGCCGCCGCGGATGCGCTGGCAGCCCGCGTGTGCAGCGCCGAGCGCGGCAGCGCCAGGCGTCTCCTGCGCGCCCGCGGCCTCGGGCGTGATGTTGGGGTCAGGCGCAGGCCCGTTTGAGCAGTCGGTGCCTTTCACCACCGCCACCGCCACCGCCAACGCCACCGGCGCATTTGCCCCCGCTCCAATGCCGAACCCCTTCCCCCACACCGACACCACCCCACTACTGTCGCCGATGCCGGCGCATGCGCTGCCGTTGACGGTGGCGATGGCGATGCCTTTGACGCCGTCGCTGCTCTACTTTGGTATCCCGCCTGCACTCCCCACGCATAGGACGGCAGCAGCTTGGGCCCCTCCAAATCCTTCAGAGGCAACTCCTGGACGATATCCTGAGTGGGACCGGCCTCGCACCACTCCTCGACCGTCCGCACCAGAACGCAGGGACGGGGTTCAATAGCGCACCTCTTTCGTCCGTTTGGGGGGAGGCGCGGTTTCTGGTGGCCTCCGGGAGCCGACGCCGAACACGTCATCTAAGCGGGCCGCGCCGACATCGGCGCTGCTTGCGCGGTACTTCTCTTTGGTCTGGAGGCGATCTAGGGCGCATATCGGCTGGTGGAATGCGCATTCTGATTTGGGGGGTGATACCAAAAGTCAGCACACCATTTCCGTTACGATTTTACAAGCAACTAAGGGCGGGTTGCAAGTGGGCCGATAGGACATTTGATATCGAGAGACTCGAGAAATAAATCACACATCAGTGGACAGTGCACAGTGGCGTCTGGCGAGATGCGAGCCGGACCGGTACACATTATTGATTTATAGATATAGTTTATACCCCGGACGATATACAGCGGGGTTCGCAGCCGAACGTAGGTGAGTAATATGCACACAATAGCACTTTATGAAGACGCACAGTTAGTCTACACGGGTATAGGGAGAGCGACAGAGTTGACATTCCGTAAAGCTATCGCCCCCGACATCGCAAAGCCCCCACGTGGAGGCTTTGAGCCGTCGGGGGCGCCACAATATGTGTCAGGCGACGCGCGCTCAGCCGCAGCCGCTGCAGCCGCATTCCGGCCTCTCAGCGGGCAGCCCGCGGCGCCGCATCAGCGAACCCCGGCTCAGTGGCCGTGGCCCTCGTGGCCGCCCTCGCCCGCGCAGTGCTCGTGGTCGAGGAGGACGAGGCCGATGGCGGTCGCGCCGATGATGAAGAGGAGGAGGCCGCCCAGCCGCATGTTGAGCGTCGTCGCGTACTCGTGCACGCGCGGCATGCACTCGGTCGCCGCGAGCTGCAGGTACACACCGGCGCCGTAGGCGAGGAGGCAGCCAGTCGAGAAGTTGGACGGCTCGGCGGAGAGGACGATGCAGACGCCAAAGAGGACGGACATGCCCGAGAGGAAGTTGAGGCCGAGCGCCATGAAGGGCTTGAGCCCGCCCTGCTCCGGGTTGGTGAGCACGAGGTAGTCGGAGATCTCCTGCGCGAGCTCGTGGTAGACGGTGGCGGCGGTGATCGTCCACGCCATCGACGAGTCGCAGTTGGCAAAGGCGGCGCCGATGAAGAAGCCGTCGACCAGGTTGTGCAGGAAGTCGCCCAGCAGCACGCCGGAGAGCACGCGCACCTTGTTGCGCGACTTGGGCGCCGGCACAACGGCGGCCGGCTTGGCCGCCTCGGCGTCCGCCTCCTTGCGCACCTCCTGCCCGGGCGCGGCCTTGCCGATGACCGCGGAGACGATCGCCTCGAGGATGAAGGGGCTGACAAAGCCGAGCAGGGTCGCCGAGCCCCACCACGCCGAAGCCTGCGCCTCGGTGCGGTCGTCGGTGATGGCGATGAGGTGGGTCGCCTCGTACAGCATCAGGTAGAAGGCGGCCGCCAGGAGGGCGCCGGCCTGGTGGGGCGGCGGGGTGGGGGCGAGGGTGAGACTGTGAGCGGCGCCGGCCGACTATGTGGGCGGCGCCGGCCGACTAGCGGCGGGCGCGGCGAGGGGTGCAGGGAGGTGCACCGCGAAGGCCGAGGCGAGCACGTTGACGAGCGCCTCGCGCTCCTTCTGGAGCTTGGCGAAGAGGGGCGCGAGGAAGATGACGCCGATGAGCGTGCACACCATCACGATGAAGGCGGCGCCGATGGCGGCGCCCCACCGCTTCTCCCGCTCCTCCGGCTCGGGCATCTCGTTGACCGGCTCGATGTCCTCGCCGCCCGGGCCCTTGAGGTAGTGCAGCGAGCGCTCAAACTCGGTCGGGTAGTGCTGCGCGAAGATGGCGATGCTCTTCACGCCGGCCGGGATGGGGATCGTCCACACGGCGGTGTGCGCAGTCGCGTGGCAGTGCTCGTGACCGTCCTCCGTCTCCATCTCGCAGGGGAACTTGAGCTTGTAGCACGGGAACGGGCTGCCAGCCGGCTTCGGGGCGGCCGTGTCAAACTTGATCTCTCCGTTCGGCATGAGGTCGGGGCACGCGGTGCCGACCGCCAAGGCCTCGTTGCCCGCGGCCACGAGGGCGTCGTCGAAGGTGAAGTCCGCCTTGCCCGTCTGGACGGAGATGAGCATCGTGGCGTCGGGGTACTCGCCCTCCTCGTTCGACTGCGCCGACCAGGTGAGCGTCTCGAAGGCCTCGCCCGTGGCCGGGTTGGTGACGTCGAAGGTGCCCGCCCACTCGACGTTCTCCTCCAGCGGCGCGAGCACGGCGTCGATGACGTGGATGAAGCCATTGTCGACCTCGATGTTGTTGGTGGTGGTGACATTGGCAGCTGGGCCGAGGAAGGTGCGCGTGATGGTGATGCCGCTCGTGCTGGAGGTGGATGCGCTGGAGCCGTCGACAATGATGTTGTCGCCCTGCAGGGTGGCTTGGACGGAGTTGACGAGCGCCAGTGCGGTCGCCGCCGACACCTTGGACCCGAGGGCGTGCTTGAGCAGGATATCGGGAAGCTGGGGCAAAGGGAGCAAGTCGGTGGCCTGGCTCAAGTCGAGTTTGGTGGCGAGGGCATCAAAGGCGGCGTTGTTGGGGGCAAAGACGGTGAAGGATCCGGTCACGTCCGAGAGCGCGACTTCCACCGTGGTAGACGATCGAACCGCGGCGCAGAGAGTGCCGACGGTGGCCGCGAGCGCGGGGTCGCAGGCTTTGCCGGCGATGGTGTCGGTGAGGAGCGACCGCGTCGCGATCACCTTGTCGATCTCATGGATCACGCCGTTATCGGCCGTGATGTCGGCGGTGACCACCTTGGCCTTTCCTCCGATGGCGGTGGGCGTGACGAGGACGTCGCCGGTGGAGCCGTCGACAACGATCTTCTCCTCGTCGTCCGTGTGCAGGGTGGGCTGGACGGAGTTGTCGAGCGTCAGAGCGGTCGCCGCCAGCACCTTGGACCCGAGGGTGTGCTTGAGCAGGAGAAAGGGAAGCTCGGGCAAAGGGAGCAAGTCGGTGGCGGCGCTCAAGCCGAGTTTGGTGGCGAGGGCATCAAAGGCGTCGTTGTTGGGGGCGAAGACGGTGTATTCGGCGCTCGCGTCCGAGAGCGCGGTGAGGACCGTGGGAGACGCAGCGACCGCGGCGCAGAGCGTGGAGAACTTGGCCGCGTTGCCCGAGTCGCAGGCGATGTCGGCGATGGTTTGCCCGTAGGCGGGGAGCGCGAACAGGGCGAACATGGAGAAGTCGATCGAAAGCAAGAGAAAGAAGCTGTCGGTTCAGGAGTCGGGCTCGGCGGACAGCGGCTTTCCCAGAGGTTTCGCTCGAAACGCTCGGCAAAGGCGGCGGATGTCACGTAAGCGTGCTCCAGGCTTGCTCGACGCGTACTGACAGGGCGTGCCACCTTACTTGCCGCCTCCTTTGGCGGGGCTTTCTTACATGCAGAGTAGAGCTCTTATGCATGGCTAGGTAGTTAGGGGCAAGATGAGGAGTGGAAAGAGCTTTCCGGCCATCGAACGCGAACGAGGTTGATTACCTAAGTGCGGAGGCCAGGCCGGTAGCGGAGTAAAACCCGTTTTTTACTCTCTCGAGAAAGAAGCGGGCGGAAAAAGAAAATCTCCTCACGCCGCGGAGTACGTGTGTGTCGCGCGCCTTGCGGTACCCGGGTAGGGCCTCGCCGCGCGAGTGAGCAGCCTCGCCGCTAGAGAGTGAGCAGCCTCGCCGCTGGAGAGTGAGCAGCCTCGCCCTGGAGAGTGAGCACGCCTCGCCGCTAGAGTGAGCCGGCCCGGGCTGCCTCGCCGCTAGAGTGAGCCAGGCCCGCAGCAGCGAGCCCGCAGCAACCTTGAATGCTGCCGCTGCTCCGCCACGCTCGAGGGAACAGGCCTGGCCGTCCTCCGTCAGCGAGAGCCTCGTCCTTCGCCGCCACCTTCGCTGAGCGCTCCGCTCGGTACTGGACGCCGGAGAGGCTCCAGGCGCTCAGCGGAGGCCGGGATCTGCCGCTCTCGCCCGACAAGCCAGGCGCCGCGGCGCTGCTGCGCGTCATCGGGCTGATGGGCTCGGACGGCTCGATCGGAAGCGAGGCGGTCCGCAAGTTCCGCCAGATCAACCTGCTGCTCCTCGAGGTCGAGCGCCACCTCGCGCCGCACGCCTCGCGCCCGACTCGCAAGCCGCTGCGCGTGCTCGAGCTGGCGAGCGGCCAGTCGCAGCTCTCGCTGCTGCTCGCGCACGCCGCGGCGCACCGGTGGGGCCGGCCTGCGCAGGTGCTCGCCGTCGACCGCGACGCGACGCGCGTGCAGCGGGCAGAGCGACGCGCGCACGCCCTCGGCCTCTCGCATGCGGTGGTGCAGCGGCGGAGCGAGATCGGGCAGCTGGGCCGGTGCGAGAAGGAAGCACGCGTACCGCCGTCCCCTTCCGGAGCCCTTCTCTCAGCCTTCTCGGGCTCCCTCTAGGTGGGAGGACGAGCACGCCGCCGCCTTCCCTCCGAGGGACGGGGCGGCCGCCCCTCCAGGGCAACCGCAGCCCTCCGCCAAGGCTGCACGAGCCTGGACGTCTCCTTGACACGTCCGGCGACGCGTCCCCTGCAGGCCGCCCCACCTGGCCGTGGCGCTGCACGCGTGCGACACGGCCAGCGACGACGCCCTCGCGCAGGCGGTTCGCGCTCGCTCGCTGCTCATCGCTTGCGCGCCCTGCTGCCACGCGCAGCTCGCGCGCCGCTGGTCCGTGCTGCCGGACAGGCACGCGCTGTCGGAGTCGGTGGCGAGCCAGCCCTCCCTCCGAGCCTTCCCTACGCCCCCCCTGCCTGCAGGCTCGTGCAGTCGCACCCTCTGCGGACCATCCACACGGTGCCGCACTTGCGATCCGAGACGGCGGCGCACGTGGCGGACGCGTTGCCTCTGTCCCACGCACCGGCGGAGGCGTCAGCCACCTGTCGTCAGGCGGCGCACGTGACCGACGCGATGCGCGTCGCGCTGCTGCGCGCGGCGGGTTACCGCGTCGCCGCCAGCGAGTTTGTGGCGAGACCCAGCAGAGACCTCGCCGAGACAAGCCGATATAAAGCACACCGATATATAGCCGAGCCCTTTGCCGAGACCTAGCCTCTCGATGTCGCAGATAGATCTCTCCTCCCGAGTCGGGCCCGCGTCGACGGCACCCCCCCCACAGGCGCCGGAGCACACGCCGAAGAACCGGTTGCTGCTGGCGGGCCGCTTGCGCGCGGGGGTGCCGGCCACCCGAGCGGCGCAGGAGGAGGGGCTCGCCGAGTACGTCGCCCTCAAGTCCGCGACCGGCGGCGCCGGGATCGCGCTCGAGGGCTTGCTAGGGAGCGTCGGTATCAGAACTTGAGAGGCGGGACACGACGCATGTCGTAGAAGAGACTCATAAATACGTACTGTGCGCCAGAGCGCCGGTCCTCCCTGTGTTGCCGCTACCTCCGCCGCCCGCAGGCCGGATTACCGCTACCGCTTCACAGCGCGGGTCCCCTACCGCCACCGCCTTACTGTCCGCGTTTATCGCGCCCACGGGGCCGAGAGCAGGAGACCTGCAAACACGCCTGGTCTGACGCGCCGAGGATGGCGACGAGCCTCGCGAACGAGGTCGCGGCGCTGGACGTGTCCGATGACGATGGCCAGCTGCTCGGAACGCTCGCAAGCGATGAGCTTGCATGCGTATGGCGCGCGCTTGCGTCCGATGACCACTTCGCGTTTGCGCTTTCGTGCAAGACCTTCAACTCGCTGCGTCCTCGGCGCCGGAAATTTCCTTGGATCGAAGAGGACATGGGCGGCGAGAATCCGATGGTGAACGTGAAGATGGAGACGCGGCTGCTCTCTATCATGCGCTCGCCGACGCTGCAAGCGTGGGCCGCGTCGGTCGGGGCGCCGTCCATCTACCCTCACTGGGTTGAGATCTATGGGCTGCAAGGTGCGGCACAGTACAATGGGCGGGTCGGCCGCGCCCTCGGCCCACCCAACGACAATGGCCGCGTGCCGGTCGAGGTCGACGCCGGTGCCGGCGAGCTGCCACGACGGGGCATGCACAGTGCGCCCAGCCTGAAGTCCATCCTGATCAAACCATCGAATCTGCACGTGCTCACCTCCCTCGAGGACGAGCTCGTGTATGCGTGCCATGCCGAGGGCGGCGGCGGTCTCGGCTCGTCGTGGGCGGCGGTGCTGCTGCCGCGGCTGCACTCGTGCTTCAATCGAGAGGAGGTGACGAGCGACTTAATCGATGGACGGGGCAATCGCAGAGGCCAATCCGTGGATATGAACAATCTCACGCAGTGGGGGATGGCTGGCAAGACCGAAGAGGAGATGGCCGACGAATTGGAACGTACCGCGTTCCTGGGCTTGGTCATGAACCAGGGGACTATCCATTCGCCGCCCTACAAGCGAGCGGCGACGAAGACGCCCGACATCACACCGGATAACAGCTATCCGCTGAGGCATGCGCGGTGGGGGCGCGTGCAGCGCAGCCCCCTGCTGGCAAAATGTGGCGTGCGCCTTGCCATCCAGCGGGTCGAACGGCCAAACGGTCGCGCACGCGGCGCATCGATGCAGAATAAGCTGGCGACGTTTCTGATGATCGACACAGAGAGTGGGTTCGCGCCACCGCATTGGCAAGACGGCATCGGCGACACGTACATCTACCGGGCCCCAGGCGCCGAGGACGGCATGGGCAATCTGAAGCACCTGGACCTGACCGAGCTCGGCTTCATGTGGGAGTACATCAGTGGCGAGCTGGGGAGCGGCGAGTTTGTGCAAGAGGCGAGCACAGCCGACTATCGGAAGCGGCTCGCAGAGTACCGTGAGCGACCAGGCAACGAGTGACGCGAGAGGACTTGCGAATTGAGGCGCGGACGACTCGACTCGACGATCGACGTGACACTTTGGCCGTGGAGTACCCCGGCGAGCGGTGGGTGGATCCGCGGCGCGCTATTTTTTTCAGACGAGTTTCGTCCTCGTCTTCATTCGTGTTTACAAACCCTTGCCCATGACGAGCGCGCCGCGCCTCCAGCGCGGCAGCATGGGCGGCGGCGGATCGAGCTCCTCAAAAAGCCCATGCGCTCACGTGTGCTCTGAGATAAAGCGCCAGCGCGCAGCGGCCCACAGCGCGGGCTCGTTATCGGCCAGCACCTCGAGGGTTTCCCACCCCTCGAATGGCGTGTCCGTTTTATTTATTTACTACCACTCGAACAGAATTTTACCAAAACTCCTCTCTCGCTGTCGCTCGCAATACGCAAGTGTAGTCGCACAACACAAGGCTCAGCGACCGCACAGGTAGCAGCGGGCAGTATGTGCGCCCTCAAGCTTGCACTGCCTGATGTAATCGTTGACCGAGTCGAAGCCAAAATCACGAGCGGCGTGGCGCTCTCGCTCTGCTGCCTCTCGCTCTGCCTTGTCCCGCGCTATCGCCGCCGCCTCGCGGGTCGCATGCTTGCTGGCTCCGATGTTGGCGGCCGGCTTGAGCCTCCCGTCGTCGCCCACAATCTCGTCATCCGACAGGCTGAGCGACTCCATGTTAACCTGCTCCCACTGGGCATCCTCCGCCGCTTCGCCTCGAGCCTTCTCTGCCAACTCATGCACGGCGCTGAGCCGGCCCGCTTGGCAGAGGTCGGACAGGTCAGCCATGAGCTGCCCAACCTCGCGCTCCGGGCAGATGGACCGAAGATAGACCAGGTACGCCTCGGCGATGCCTTCCGTCATGCGAGCGCGGCGAGCGAGCGCGGCGAGCTTCTGAACGCGGCGAGCTAGGGGGGGCCGAGCTCCCTGATGTACGCGCAGCTGTACGCGACGCGTCCAGTCTTGCGGCCGCAAGACGGATTTATTTTTTAACCCTTTTGCTTCATAGGGGTCTTGGAGACCCAATCTCGATATATCTCCAGTCGTAGCGGTGGAACTTTTTTTTGGCTCGGTCAATTATTTAGCCATATATGAGAGGATCACGGCACAGTGTCGTTTGAGTCGACAGTAAATCTCCCACAGCCCACGTAAATCCGTCTTTTCAGGCACCCGGAGCCCGCCGCGGCCGCTTCTACGCCGGCGAATCACCATCAAGCTGCTATACGGCCCCGGCATCGCCTCCCCGGGCTTAGCTCTCAGTCAAGATATTGTGCACATGAGTGGCCTCTACAATATACTCACTGACACTGAACCTCCCAGAGCTCGTCCCGGTCCGCCACGGCCATCCTCGTCCTCCGGCGGGCCCCCGGCCGCGGCGCGGTGCGGCGGCGTCACAAATCCGACCACAGAGCACCGGGACGCGGTCGGGCGATCTGAGGCCCAAGTAGGCGAATGCATTGCCCATCCAGGGCTATCACCTGGACCTATCAACAGGCGCCTGCGGCGCCGTGCTCAGGAGTTGGTTTTCACTCGCTCGAAATGTGTGCCTGAAAGGGAAAGTCACGTTCGGCAGCGTCGATCGACCGCACGGCCTACTCGCCCAAGTACTCGCTCTCTTTTATGTCCCACCATTGCAGAGCGCATCTCTCTCTGTTGTGCGAGGCGTGAACCGCGCCATTCGCTCTCACCTGGCAACCCTGTCTGCACGTCTCGCGCGCGCGTGAACAGGGCTCCAGGCCCTAAATGACGTGTGAGTGTTAGAGTTGTTTGGTATTGCTAAAAATCTCTCTCTAGAGTGTATCGCCAACGATCAAACGCGGTGCCACACTGACTGTATTCAATCAATGGTGCTGCGGCTGGCATGCGGATTGTGGCTGCTCGCGGCAGTGTCGGTGGGCTGGCGTTCTCGCTCGCCTTTGAATGAGCGCATCCTGGTCCCAAATGGAAAATCCTGCAGCAAGGCACCGGAGGGCAGCTGCTCATCGACAAGGGTCGAGGGAAGTACAAGCTGTGCCACGGGCCGGGCGGCACTAAGTGTTCCTCTACTACGGTATCAGGCTGCTGCTCTGTGCCGCTCACTTGCGACGACCTGGCGGGGCGCCTCCCGGTCCCCAATGAGAAAGGCTGCGCCCGGACCGCGTGGACCGGGTGGGCCAACCCCCCACCTTGGAAAGGCGAGCGCGAGCTCCCGTAGAAGAAATCTACGTCGTCCTTGCGGTGGAAGGGCGGGGGACAGCCCTTTCGCGATATGAAGATGGCCTCTGCTCATCACAAGAAGCACACAACACCGAGTGAAGGCAGTGCTACGGGCCTGGGGTTGTCCGTTTACGTGAACACGCGTTTACGAGAGAGATTTTTAAAGACCAACCAGAAATCACTTTGTTCGTTTACGTGAACACAGATGGCGCTCCCAGAAGTCGGCGAACACAGCAAGTCGGCGAAACACAGCGATTCCTCGGCTCCCATGCAAGAGCGGTGGAGGCGCAAGAAAGCGGGCGGTGGTGGCTCGGTCGCCGACTTGACGAGCAAATTTGAAACGAACAGCATCAAGCCCACACCTGTCAATCCGGTCGCTCCGCCTCGCCGCACCTCGCTCGCTCGAGGGGAAAAACCGCTGCTTAGCACCCACCAGGAGCCCACGCCGACCGACCCGGGGACGCCACGGTACGGCACGGCAGGGCGGGAGGCGCCGCCGCCGTCCTCCACCGGCGCGGCGGCGGACGAGCTCGGAGACGCGGCCGTGGCGGAGCTGGCGGAGCTGGCGGCCGAGGCGGCGCGCCTAGCTGCCGAGGCGACGCTCTCGCTCGAGGCGTCGCTGGCGGTGGAGACGGCCAAGTGGCGGCTGCGCGCGGCGGTGGGGGGCGAGGGCGGCAAGCCGCGCTGCGCTCTCTCCGAGCTGCACGACGCCATCTGCTCCGCGCGGGCCGCTGACGCGGGCCGCGAGTCACAGCTGGCGGCCCGCGCAGAGAAGGCGGCGGCGGCCGCGGTGTCGTGCGTGCTCGAGGCCAAGAGGGAGGTGATCGACCCGAACATGAAGGCGCTCAAGGCGCACCTGCAGCGCTTGCGCGAGGAGGAGGTCGGCACCGCCGTCGGCTCGATGGCTTCGGGCGCGCTCCGCTCGGTGACGCGCGCAAAGGCGCTGGCGATCCAGCGCTGCCTGATGGCGGTGCTCGACGATGTGGAGCAGCAGTTCGTGGGAGGGATGGAGCAGGCCTCCCGCCCCGGGCTGTCCCATCCCTTCCGCAAGCGGGCGGTGGCGCGCGCCCTGTGCGCGACCGCCGTGCACGCGCACCGGCTCGAGATGGAGGCCGAGTACGCGCTGCCCGACATCGAGCAGGAGCTGCGCGAGCGGATGGGGGCGCGCGAGCTTCCCGAGCTCAAGACGCTCGGCATGGACAGCGGCAAGCCGCCGAGCATGGAGCAGGCGCCCCTCTCCTTCCTCGCCGCGGTCGTGATGGGCTCGGCCGGCCTCGGCGTGCCGGCCCCCGTCTCCGACTGGCTCTGCGTGCAGGTGCACCCTCGAACGACCCGTCTCCTGGCTCATCCAGACACCTCCCAGCTCACGTGTCCTAGACACATGTCCTCGTCTTGCGTCGCATCTCGACCGCGTTCCAGACAACTCCCAGACATGCCGGGGCCGCCCTTGCGCACACCACTTCTCCCCCTCCCAGTCGCTTCCCAGACCTTTCCCAGGCACGTCCCCCTCCCGCTGCTGCAGGTCGGCCGGTACCTCGACCCGTTCATCGACGGCGACGTCGAGCCGCAGCTCTACGAGAAGCGGTCGGCGGGCCTCTTCATGACGCGGCTCGAGCGGGCGTGGACGGACCCGGCCGTCTCCACGCAGGAGCTCGAGATGCGCGCAAAGTGCGGCGCCTCCAACAAGCTACCCGTCTCGCCGGCGGTGGCCCTGACGGCGTACGTGAGCCACTGCATCACCAAGATGAACATGTGCATGGGCTTCTCGCGGCAAATCCCGGGGATGGACCGGCAGCCGCTCGGCGCGGGCTTGCAGGAGCGGCACGTGAAGCAGCTCGGCGCCGCGCTCGTCGCCGCCATCGCACGCGACTTTGCGGCGCCGCACCGCTCCATCGCCAGCCTGCCCATCACCGCAAACGTGGTGAAGGAGCTCGCGCAGGCGCACCTGCGCGCGTGCGTGCTGTACCAGAACGAGCTGTCGAACGCGCTCGCGCGCACAAATGTGGAGGGCGAGGAGGCGCGGAGGAAGGAGCGGATGCTCATATGGGGGGTTTGAGGACACGTGTCTGTGGTTTGTGCGTGTTCTTTGTATCTGTGTGTGTGTGTGTGTGTGTGTGTGTGTTGCTATCGTTTGCGTAGTGTGTGTGCCCTCCCGAAGATGTCGCAAAGCCGCGTATACCATAGAAACGTATTTCACCAAGAGAGAGAGAGCGGGACTCTCGCGTGTACGTCCCCGTCTGCGGTCTGGGGCGCGGCGCCCGGCCGCCGGGGGTTCTCCCCGAGCGTGAGCGGTGAGGCCGCGCACAGAGAAACGTGCCGGCACAGGCCACAGCCGACAGCGCGCGAGTGCCGAGTCGCGGTGTCTGGCGGGCGACCAGGGAGAGCGAGCCAATGCGAACGCTAGCCGCGACTCCGCGGCCCCCAAGTGCCAAGAGATGGAGAGATGACAATCGCCTAGATACGGGGTGACTGTGGAGGGTGAGTTGAACAGGGGTTGTGCGCCAAGCCCTCCTGCTCGGCTCCAGCCGGTAGACAAGTCTTGTCATCAACAGAGTAGATGGATCTGACCTCGGGGCCGATGTGACCAAGCGCTGGTAGCGTGGTTTTACCTCACACCCATGGTCTCACAGTGTGCCGGCAGTCGCCGAGCAGTGTCGCTCACACAAGCCGCAGCACAAGTGACTGAGGGCCAGTGAGGGCGAGCCCATCGCTGTCACAGCTGTGGCAGCCGCACAGTAGGCTGTGTCAGCTGTGCAGCGTGTGTGAGCAGCAGAGGAGCTGCTCTCCAGGCTTCTGTCGCAAAGAGCTGCATGCCACCGAAAGCGCTGTCGAGGTTCGCCGAGCGCGGCGCAGGTTGGAGGACACCGTCACCGACGAGCGCGTTGGACTTTTCACTCCGGACAAAGACGGCGACACGCACACGAGCTGCGGCCGTGTCGCCGTCATAGCGGCGAGGCGCGGGACCGTCTGTGGCGAAGTGGGTCGCGTCCTCCGATTTCCGTCAACTCAGCCTCCACACCCTCTACGCGTGTCTACGGTCCATCCTTGTCCACTGTCCCCAGGTCCTGCTGCACAAAGCCACAGCAGCAGTCTCCCACCGAGAGGCACGAGCGTGCTCGACCTCGATCCTCGTGGCAGTCGTGCCCTCGATCTCGTCCTCAGACGACGATGCCGTCTTGGGGGAGAGACGCCACCGAGCTCCGAGGGGTCGCGTCCGCTTCTTGGGGGTCGGCCGCGCCCCTGAGCCTCGATCTTCTTGCATCTTGGGCAGCTGCCACCCGCTTGCTTTTTTTTGCTCCAGTTCTGCGGATCTTCAGTACTCGTAGACCGACCGACCGGAGCGAGGGCTACGACGCTTTCACACGCTCCAAGCACCAAGAGGGGAGCTGCGTGGGCCGCAGAGCTGCTGGTCCGACGACAGGTCCTCTCCGTGGCTTAGGCAGCCGTCGTCGCCCTGGCCCCAGGCGAAGACAGCGCCGTCAGCGGTGCGGGCGAGGCTGCGTCTTCGTTCTTTTATACACACATATGACGTAGACGACACGAGACATGACAAGTACACATGTACTTGCGCGCCTACTCGACAGACTGAGCGCGTGTGTGCCGTGCACACTCGCCCCACAAACAAGTACTCACTGCGATGATACATGTAGGTAGCGCAAACCTCACTTCTCCTCCGCCCGCTTTGCCGACCTGCCGGCGTTGGCGGCGCCGTAGAGCACGAACGCAAAGATCGAGGCGAGCCCCGCGCCGAGGAGCGGCTTGAGGGCGTCGACGGCGGCGGCGGCGTCGGCGTTCTGCGACTGCGAGAGCACGTACCCGAGAGCGGCGAGGACGAGGGCGAGGGCGGGCACCCGCAAGCTGGGCGGGAGGAGGCGGGTGCCGAGGGAGCGCGCCGTCGCGACCGCCTTGATCTCCGCCGCGCCGAGCACCTGGGGCGAGGTCCCGAGAGGGCTCCGGGAGGGTGCAGCGGTGTGCTGACCTCCGCCGCGCCGAGCAGAGCAAAGGGCCGCACTGCAGCACTGCCTCTCGGCCAATCTCGGCCACTCTCGGCCACTCTCGGCTCATCTCGGCCAATCTCGGCTAATCTCGGCCAATCTCGGCTAATCTCGGCTAGTCTTGACCTCGAGCGAGGGGCCGCACTGCAGCACTGCCGGGTTGAGCCGCATCACCTTGCAGACGTGTGTGTGCGTGTGCCTTGCTGCCGCGAGTGCGCGCCCTACTGCTGCCTCGACGCGCCGCCTCCTCTTCGCCCATCGCCCATCTCGGCTACGCCTCGGCCACATCTCGGCTACACCCCGGCTGCATCTCGGGTATTCCTCGCACCTCCAGCGCCTCCGCCTCGCTCATCGCCGCACGCAGCACGCGCCTGGGCGGTGCACAAGCCGCCACCAGGCTTCAGCGTGGGGACGTGGCGCTGGCGGGCGCTGGCGGGCACTGACGGCGGGCGCTGGCGGGCGTTAGCGGGAGGCGCACTTGGACTCGATCATAGTGTTTGGGAAGCTGTAGGAAGGGTTGATCACCTGCGAGGGTCGCGGTGGCGGCGGCGGTGGCGGCGGTGAGGGGGCTGGCGCTGACGGCGGCAGTGGCGAGGGCGGCGGCGGGCGTTGGCGGAGGCGTTGGCGGAGGCGGTGGCGGCGGCGGTGGCACCTGTGGGTTGGCCTGCACTGCAGCGAGCGCCCGCTCCTCGGACCCGTAACACTTGAGCATCGCGCCCCAAAGCGGCTCCAGCTCCTTGGAAGAGTACCTTTTCCTGAAGGTGCGGGTAGCCGCCGCCGCCGCCGCCGGCAGCCGAACGCCTCGCACCTTGGATTTGGTGCCCTTCTTCAGCCGCCTCATCTTTGGCCCTTGCTGGACGGCATCCGACTTGACGAAGCGCGAGAAGGGACCGTTCTCGATGCCAAGCGACACCTCGGCCGCGTAGCTCAGCTGAACGCCCCACGGGATCAAGAAAACCGCCGCGAGCGCCTTGGGCAGTAGTGCCTCTGGCGCCGCATGCCTCGCCGCAGCCGCCGGTCGCAACAGCGGCGCACGAACCACGGCTTGGTGGTGCTGCAGGGCCGAGGTGGTGGCGATCATCAGCACGCAGGCTGCGGAGAGCATCGGCCGCCTCAGTACCAGGTACTCGGCCCGGGGGCGCGGTGGAGAGCGATTCACTGTCTGGTACCTCCAGTGTCGGTGTCTTTGCAAGCGGCGGCTTACGCGTTTTTTCTTTTCTTCTACTTCTTTTCCCGCCTCATCTCGAGCAGAGCAAACGGACGTACCCACGTTCCGGCGCATGAAACCTTTTTTGTTTATTTTTTGCGCATGTGTGATGAGAGATGAAGCTTGAAGGGGAGAGATGAGATGAAAGAAAAAAGGCGCCGGCGCTGACTGACGATTGTGGCACCAGCCGATTAGGAGAGAGAGAGGAGTAGAACAGAACCGGATAGGTTGAAACGTGGCAGTTCCCTTGCTCCAAGTGCTTGCGCTTCGGGGGGGCGGTAGTGATCTATCTGATCACCCGAATGCATGCCACGTTCGTTCGGATCGCTCCTCATCGCAAACCCGGTGAGCAGTTCACCCTCGGGTATGTTAGTAAGAGCCACTACACTGAAAAACCCTGTCAGGAGTCCACGCACCCTCGGGTATGTTCCGTAAGAGCCATGAAAAAAATCTCCAGGCGGCGTCGGCCGTCCTCAGCTCTACGCCCTACCAATGCGCCAGCCGCGTAATGATCGAAGCGAGCGCCGAGAGGAGGAGGTCCGGAGGGCCAGACGCCTCGCCTGCAGCGGCAGCTTCCTCCAGCGCTGCCCCTGGCGCCGCTCCGGAGGCCAGCTCTGCTAAACCTGTCCCCGCTGGACAGCCTTTCCGCTGCCGCCTTTTTCGTTGGCCATGCCTGTGCCTGTTCGGGCTACCTGCTGGCTACCTGCTGGTGGCTGTTGTCTCGTGGCGGGCACCGTGGGTAACGCTCACAGGGATGGAGGTTGTTGCTGCGAGCCTGGGCCCGCTCAATATCGCCGGTGTAACCGAAATCTCGTCGACCCCAGCAAGCTGGCACCACGTTTTCGGGGCCTTCACGTTGACGGGCCGGGCCTGCGTGCACGTGCACAACCCGAGCGTGGTGCCAGTCCAAGTCTCCAAGCTAGTGGGCACACTCAGCATAAACAACATTGACGCGTCAACCAAACTGGAGGGCGTGAAGCTCGTGATGCCGCTGGGGCAGGCGTGCGTGCCGGTCGAAGTCACGACGGGCGACATCTTTCAGGACATCGGCAACGAAACCATCCGAGGCCGCTCGTCCCAGACGGTGGAAGAGCTGATGAATAACGAGCCCATATCTCTGCAGGCTCAGCTCACACTCAGCACCATGTCCTTTCACCTTTTGGCGACGCACATCATGGCCATCTGTGAAGTCATGGTGCAGGTCTGCCCTCCGAATCTTTGCCAGGCCGGCAATTTCTTCGACCCGATGTCTCTGGCACGCATCGCGAGCTCACAGTTGGGCGTTCCCGAGGAGGCTCAGTGCCTGGTCGAGCAGACGGGCTGCTTTGCCGAGCTGCGACGCAGAGAGCGCGCGCCCGACGTCACACGGATAAACTGCACCAGCATAGCGGTCGAGGTGTCGCGGCACCACGCCGACTGGCAGATTTGGGGCTTGATCGACGCGGCACATTCTCAGGCCGGGCGCTTGGCAACGGCGAGTCGGGATCTTGCAGCGGGTCTTCTGGACTAGCGCATTTTGCATGATCAGGTGAAGAACAGTCTGGCTCGGACTGCACACCAACGCTGTATGGGTGGATGCGGGACAGAAGACTGAAGAGGACGGCACGCGCGAGCGACACACAGACACACACAAGCTCACAAGACACTCAGCCAGCTGGGGCGGCTGCCACACATCCCGAGTAAGCACGTGTGAGCGTACGGCACTACGCTACTCAGGGCCACGTCCCCCCCTGTCGCCCCCCCCCAGCACCCACGGTGCCAAGGGCACAAGTCCACAAACTCAAACAACAACACACCAGCAGGAACACACAAACAGGCGACAGGGCACGCGACGTGTGAGGCTAGAGCAGACTC